TACAGCTTTTCATTGGGAGTAGGAGTAGTACTAGCTGTTGCATTGAAAATTTAAGAACTTGACATAGGGAAATCTAGGCTCGACGAGCTATTCGAGCTCGGCTCGTCAAGCTCGCAAGCTTGGAGCTAGGCTTGAGCTCGGCTCGAATTGTTGACGAATCGAGCTCGAGCCGAGTCTACAGCGAGCCGAGCTCAAGTAGCTCGCGAGCCTCGAGCTTTCTTGCGCCACCGCCGTCCTCCTTCACCGCCTTCGTGCCCGCTGGCCGTCAACCTCCTCGATGCCAACTCCTTATCCCTCACCACCTCCGCTGCCATTCACTCTTGCAACCACAAATCGCCTACTCCCTTCTCCTCTCCAAGCTCTGCCAAGGCCTCCTCCCTGAATGGCGTGCCTACACCGCCACCCTCGAGCGCCTTCCCTCTACCCATGCCCTCCGCCTCTTCAATGTTGTCCTCCGCCACCTCCGCCGAGCCCCCCTTTACCCACTCTCCCCATCAAAATATTTCCCTTCCCAACATCGCTGCCTTCAATGTCGCGCTCAGCGCTTGCGCCGACACTAGAGATTGCCTCTGTTTCCGACACCTCTGCGACCAGATGCCTAATTGGAACGCGCCGCCTGTCGTGCTCACCTACAATGTTCTCATCAAGATTGGCGCGCGCCGGCTGCAAGGACCTCATCGCACGCGTCCTCAACCGGATCCTCTCCTCCAGTTTCACCCCCTGTGCCATCACGCTCTACTCCTTCATCGGTGCCGTATGCGATGGATCGCCGTGCCCGGATACACCCCTCTGGACCTAAAGGATGTCACCTGGAACATGGCCAAGATGCGGGTGACATCGGTTGCCGGGACAAGCATCCACCGGAGATCATCCGACGGGACGAGATGGCCCATGCCGTCAATGGTGGTATCACTCCGCACCGTGACAAAGAGCACTGCGGGCTTCAATGGCGGCTCAAGGTTTTGGCGGTGACGCGAGCACGAGCAGTGGTCGTAATCCCACCGGAGTGCCACCTCAGTGAGCTCTACTACCTCATGCTTCCGCTCACTGCGCCACTCTCCTCCGAACAGAAGATGGAGAGAAGAGGGGAAAGAGAGGGGTGATGATGTGGGTTCCGTTACAGATTTTTATTTTTAACCGTACACTCACTCACATGTGTGGGTCGCATAGGCTTTTCTGATTTTGTCAGCGTCAAGTAGGTGCCACATCAGCCGAAACCACCATCCTAATCACCTCGGAATCTTCTCTGTACTGGTTTTGAGAGTTAAGGGATACGTCATATTTGGTAGTGCGGTTCTCACGAATTTTGGACTGAGCGATAAATTGAGGTACCGAAAGTGAACTTATTCCCCCGAGTTCATTCGCCCACCCAAACTTTGGGCCGGCCCGGGCTGCATCGTCCCTGCAGATCTTGCCGGCCCATCGCCTGACACGTCGAACCTTCCCCAACCTTCCGCCTCCCTCCCGACTAGAGGTGGCCAAACGGGCGGCACGGCCCGGCCCGGCACGGGCACGCTTCCGGCACGGCCCGTTTCGGCACGGCCCGTTAGGCACGGCTGATGAAACGGGCCGTGCCGTGCCGGCCCACGTGCCGAGCCGCCGGCCCAAGCACGGCCCGTCGATGGCCGGGCCGTGCCCGTGCCGGCACGGCACGCCCGCGGCCCACGGGCCGTTCGGGGGCACGGTGGCCCGTGTGCACAGTTTTTTTTTTTAAAAAAAAAAGCATAGGAAATGTATAAGGAAAAAAAATTAAAAATGGAAATAAAATGTTTAAAAAAAAGTAATGATTTACTAATGTTAAAAAATGAAAAAATGGTATTTAAAAAATGGAAATAAAAGTTTTTTAAAAAAGTAATGATTTGCTAATGTTAAAAAAAAAGAAAAAATGGTATTTTTTTTGTTGTGTTGAAAAATTTAAAAATATAGATTGTGATTCATTATTATGAAATAATTTAAAGGTAAATCCACACTTGCGAAAATATTGCAAAAGAATTTGTTAAAAATAGTAATGACCTTTATTGATGTTTATATCATTACAGGATACAATGATACATGCTGCCTCGTTAAAAACTTTGTCATGTAAAAACTCATAGGGGAAAATGAGAAAACCATGACAAAGAAAAGAGTACAGCTCAAAGGTCAGAACTACTTCTAACAAAATTCTACTGGGGTTGGTCTGGATCCAGGTAGAGTTGCTCGAAGTGGGCGGCCAATTCTTGGTTGTCCGCAGTGTATTGGGCATGTTGTCGAGCAAGCTCCCAGTCTTTAACGCTTAGTAGCATTTCGACGTGGTCGCTGCGCAGAGTCGTCCTCCGGTCTTCGATGATTCGGCCGCATAGACTGAAGGCCGATTCGGAGGACACCGTCGACACGGGCACCGTCAACACATCCCGTGCTAGTTTTGAAAGCACAGGATATGTTATCTTGTGGTCATTCCACCACCCGAGGACGTTGAAATCTTGTGCTTCGTGGTGGATGGCGTCGCTGTCCAAATAACCGGACAACTCTTCGGCCACAACATGCGAAGAGGCGTCTCCACTTGTAGCCGACGAACTGCCACCACCTTGGATTGAACTTGAAGACGATCCACCCCAAATCCTACCCCACTGTATCTTCTTCTTACCTGTAGTGGGGATAGGAGGGGGTCTCCGCTGGCGAACTTCCTGAAACTTTACTTCATATCTTTCAAAAACCTCATATAATTTACGTCTAACCTCAGTATAAAAAGAACTATAATCTACACCTATAGTATCTCCAACAAGTGATAAAATAGCAGACAATCCCCTTAATTTACACCTAGGATCTAAAACAAAAGCAAGAGCATACAACATAGGTATATTTTTCCAATATTTCAAATATTTTTGTTTCATGTGAAAGACAGGTTCAGTTAGAACGTCATCATTTTCGTATTCTTTAAATAAAGTAGCAATTTCAAGAAGGTTGTGCAAAATTATATTAGCAGTTGGATAATAAACATGTGACAAAGTTAGAGTACAATCATAAAAAGTTTCTAGAAATTGGTAAAATTTTTGGACAATTGCCCAAACATGCTCGTTCAGTACTGAAGACCCGTCACTGTTTCTTGGGCCACCACGTGACTGAACAAAATCAGAAAGTAAACTACTATAAGGTAAAACAACTTTTAACATTAAATACGTTGCATTCCACCGATGCTCTGCATCGGTGGCAAACTTACGAGCTTCCACACCGGCCGCATTGCAAAACCTCTTCCATGCAGCAATCCGCGGGTTAGAAGCAGTTAACCACGCGATTGCTTGACGAACAGCATCGATGTGGTCACCTACCCTCTTCATGCCAGTCTTAACAATCAAATTAATTATATGACATGCACAACGCTGATGGAGTAGAAAAGATTGAGCATACACACAAAATAAAGGTTGCAATATTTCAATAGCTCTAGAATTAGCAGATGCATTATCTAGGGTGACAGCAAATATTTTATCAGCAAGATTAAATTCATTAATTACTTCCCTAATTCTTTCAACTATGTTTTCTCCTGTATGTGAGACATCTATTAACCTAAGCCCTAAAACTCTCTTTTGTAATTGCCAATCATCATCAACAAAATGAACAACTACGCTAAGATAATCCTCTCTAGCTCTACTACTCCATATATCTGAAGTAACACAAACAGAGAAAGTACATGTACTAAACAGTTCCTTAAGTGCAGTTGCTTCCTTGTGATAAACATTCTCTAAATCTCTAGTTGATGTTTGCCTACTCACAGCTTTAAACCTAGGGTTATGAGATTGCTGAATGTAATGTTCAAAAGCAGGGGACTCCCCAAAATTCAGGGGTAAATCTTGCCTGGCGATTAACCGGACAAGAGATTCCCGAGCAACCATGGGATCGTACTCCCAACTGCGTACCGTACCGTCTGGGTTTAGCATAAGTTGCTGCTGCCGGAGTTGTATTCCTTGCTTCTTGGCACACGACTCCGCATGGCGCTTAAGGTGACCTGTACCACCAGAAGAACGAGCAGATAAAATTTGCCTACATATTCTACAACGGGCTTTCGATACCTCCCTTCCGTCGGGGCATGTTTCCTTTATCTCGTCGAAGCTTTGCCACACACCGGAGGTTCTCGATCTCTCCGAGCCGGTGTGTGTCGAAACACTTCCGCTCGCGGTTCCGGAAAATCCTTCCGAAGCTGTCGCCTCCTGAACCGGTACCTCCTCAACGACAGCCGTATGAACCGGTACCTCCTCCACAGATGGTGGAGTTGGAGCCGATCCGGAGGTACCGTCAAACCCCGACATGTAGTTGGGGTCGAAATCACCCAAGGTGAACGACGGCGACTGGTATGGAAAGTTCGGATCCATTCTGAAAATTTAAACCGACATAAACAAATTTTCGAATATTTATTGAATTCACAAACACAATACAAATAATACACAAATTTGAATATTACTTACATCTTTCCAACCGCGAGCTCTTCAAACCTCTGCGATCAAACTGTTGAACTACGAAACTAATTTTGATTTTTGACAAAATTTGAGCAAATTTTGTCAAAATAAAAAAAAAATGCACACTTGAGAACAAAGAGAGCACTTAAAACACTTGAGAGCACAAGATGAGGAGTGTGGGATGAGGAGAAATGGCTGGGGTTCATGCCCTATTTATAGGGCGAAATTTGAGATTTTTTGGAATTTTTATGAATTTTTTAGCCTCCCAACGGTTATTTTCAAATTTCAACGGTCAAATAGCCGTTAGTGCCACGTGTCGCCGTCCCATTGGACCGCCGCCCGCCTGCCGCTCCTGACGGGCCGCCGCCGTGCCGTGCCGGGCCGTGCCGCGGGCCGTGCCGTGCCGGCCCGCTACAGTAGCCGGGCCGTGCCGTGCCGGCCCGCGTGCTCGGCCAGCGGCCCAAGCACGGCACGGCTAAACGGGCCGTGCCGGCACGGCCCGTTACTGTAGCAGGCCGTGCCGGGCCGTGCCTGCTACAGGTCCGGCCGTGCCGCGCGCGGCCCGTTTGGCCCGGCCCGTTTGGCCACCTCTACTCCCGACGTAATCCGCCGGAGATGCTCCTCCTCCGCCACCACCCCGCCTCCCTCCGCCGCCGCGTCCGTCTCGACTCCGCCATCCATCGCCTCGCCATGTCGACCGCCGCGTCCGCCTCCGCGCCGCCGGCCTCCTCCGCGGCCTCCGACTACCACTGCCGCACCAAGCACAGCCTCACCGCCGGCTACGCGCGCGGGCCTGGCCGCCTCGACTGGGCCAACCAGCCCAACCCCTTCCTCCGCTTCTCCCCTCCCTCCCAAATCCCGCTCCCCAACCCGCCGCCGGGGATCGCCGGTATCCCCTACCCGTCGCTGTTCCACTCGCCGCCGCCGCCGCCGTCGCCGCAGCCGCTCTCCGTCGACTCCCTCTCCGCGCTGCTGTTCCACTCCCTCGCCCTCTCGGCGTGGAAGTCCGCCGGCGTCTCCACCTGGTCCCTCCGCGTCAACCCCAGCAGCGGCAACCTCCACCCCACCGAGGCGCACCTCCTGTTCGAGCACCCGCGGGACCCCGGCCGCCTCGTCGTCTCCCACTACGCGCCGCGCGACCACCTCCTCGAGGTTCGCTCCGCGGCGCCCCTCGCCGACTTCCCGGCGCTCCTGCCGCCGCCGGCCACCGCGGTCCTGGCGCTGTCGTCCATCTTCTGGAGGGAGTCCTGGAAGTACGGCGAGCGGGCGCTGCGATACTGCAACCACGACGTGGGCCACGCGCTGGCGGCGGTGGCGGTGGCCGCGGCGGCGCTAGGCTGGGATGTTCGGTTGCTTGATGGGTTGTCCGATGAGGACCTTGGGTATCTGGTGGGGGTGGAGAAAGGAGCCCCCCCTCCCCCTGATGGCTTGCCTGACAAAATGGTGAGGGGCAAGGCACCATGGGTGGAGCGGCAGCATCCCGATTGCGCGGTTCTTCTGTTTCCGGCTGGCTCAGAGCCAAAGGTGGATTATGGAGTGATGAGTGCGGCATTGAGGGGATTGGATAGATTGGAGTGGGTTGGGAAGGCTAATGCCCTTAGCAAGGATCATGTGGTGTGGGATGTGATATACCACACGGCGGAGGCGGTCAAGAAGCACGGTCCTGCTCCAGGGGAGAGCTTCTCTGTGAATCCATGGCGGAGGAACGCAGCGTTATCTGATGATCTCTATAAGGAACTGACAGTGCAGGAGGTGGTGCGGCGCCGGAGGAGTGCGGTGGACATGGATGGCGTGCATGTGATGGGCAGGGACACATTTTATCAGATAATGTTGCATTGCCTTCCGTCAGGTGACGTTTCTCCAGAGGAGCTGCAGGGACCTCCAAGTGCTCTGCCATTTCGTGTCTTGCCATGGGACGCAGAAGTGCATGCCACGTTGTTTGTGCACCGTGTCTCAGAGCTGCCCAAGGGATTGTATTTCTTGGTGAGGAATGAGGAGCATTTTGATATGTTGCGGCGTGCCATGAGGCAGGACTTTGAGTGGGAACGACCTGAGGGGTGCCCTGATGGCCTCCCATTGTACAGGCTGATGAAAGGGGATTGCCAGCAGATTGCAATGCAGATATCCTGCTTTCAGGTATTTGAATGTGTGAAATGTTTCTATTCTTATTGGAGTAACAAATTTGAATTTTGTGGCTGCATATAGTCTTATCTAATATTTATTAGCTTCAACTATGCTTGACCCAGCAGATGCATACCACTATTTCTTTATGTCAGTCCTCTTTTGGTAGCAATTTTACTGGACAAATTCCAGTACTCCAATTTCTCTTTTTTATGCTACTGATCATGAAAGACAATATGGTTTTATTATCCATTGTTGATGCCATTTATGCAGGACATTGCCTCACATGGATGTTTTAGCCTAGGGATGATTGCTAGATTTGAGCTTGTGCTACATGAGAAAGGCGAATGGATGTATCCACGTTTGTTTTGGGAGACTGGTGTTCTTGGTCAAGTTCTTTACCTTGAGGCCCATGCTGTTGGAATATCTGCGACAGGGATTGGTTGCTACTTTGATGATGCTGGTAAGTAGCATCATTCGAGTTTTAACACAGGAATTTTCAAGTTTTAAATAGCATGAACCACATCATTTGACATCTACAAATTTCACTTCGATTTATCCATGTATGCATCCTGGCAAAAGCCAAAAAAGGTCAATTGTACAGGCTGTGCTTGATATACCATTTAGCCATAGCTTTGGTAGCTACTACCTCTGTCCCATAATAATTGTATTTCTAGAATTTGAATTTGTCCCAAAATAATTGTCACAATAGAGTACTAATGGTCCCATTCAAATTTCTCCCCATTTTACCCTCAACTACCCTTCCACTCTTACCACTACACCATTTAATAAGGGGCATCGTAATCTTTCTTCTCAAACCTTAATATATGCTAAACAAACTAGAATTACAATATATATGGGACGGAGTTAGTATATAATTGGCCGAGGATGGCAAAATTGTATCTCTTTTTGCCTACAATTGTTTTGGAAAGTGATACTCACAAGCAATTTGGTAACTTCCTTTCTGTTTGTGCACTTTGTGGGACACAACCAACCAAATAAAAAATGCAGCTTAGATAAGCATTCAATATGTTCCTGTTTGATTAATATTTCGAATGAGCTCAGATGTGGCAAATTTTGAGGGATGTGTGTGCTATTGTGTCTTCTAGGATACTTTAGTTGTTTCATTTGTTTAAATGGTTCGATGGTGTCATTTTATCTGGAAGAACATAAAATGTATGCACAATAGTTCATTGTTATGGACTGTATATGTTTACCTATTCAAAGAGATATTAATCAAGCAATTTGGTATTGCTTCTTTCAATTTAAACTGTAACAAAAAATGACTCAAATGGCTGTAAACTTATCATTTTTTCCTTAAGGCCTGGGAGTGGTGATAAACTGTTTGTGTAGTGGTACCCTTGAAAATTATTTTGTCCAGTTATTGAATTCTTCACCTCCTTTTGATTTTGTTCATTCCTTTATTCGGTGCTGTAGGTTATGCATATCTTAAGTAATGAACTCTTATTTGGTGCCTTACTTTGGTGCAGTTCATGAGGTACTTGGCTTAAAAGACTTGGAGTTCCAAAGCCTGTATCATTTTACAGTGGGTGCACCTGTACTTGACAAGCGGATCATGAGTCTTCCTGCATACCCAGGACCAGGGATTGATGCATGACTGATTCTCCTGAAAGGTTTTGTTCGTCCTCCAACTTAACTTGATGATTCAGGGCCTGTTTAGTTTGCAAAAAGAAAATTTTTGGGTGTCACATCGGACGTTTGACCGGATGTCGAAAGAGGTTTTCGAACATGAATGAAAAAACTAATTTCATAACTCGCTTGGAAACCGCGAAACGAATCTTTTGAGCCTAATTAATCCATCATTAGCACATGTGAGTTACTGTAGCACTTATGGCTAATCATGGACTAATTAGGCTCAAAAGATTCATCTCGCTATTTCCCCCCTACCTGTACAATTAGTTTTTTAATTTATCTATATTTAATACTCTATGCATGTGTCTAAAGATTCGATGTGATGTTTTTGGGAAAAAGTTTTTGGAACTAAACAAGGCTTCAGTGAGATAGGAACTCCAGATCTTGTATAGTATTCGTATCGTTCCATTTCAGTTTCCATGTTGCAATTAATCCTCTCGTTAGCCTAACCCCCTGAAATATCTGTAGTGGTTAGTCCAATTGGTCTTATGATAAGAATGTTCTGATCTAAAAAACCGGGCTAAAATAGAAATATGCCATAAAAATAGTGTTGCATTTGTGTGTTGGTGCAAAGCAATGTATAGACAGTAATTTTTTTTTTTGAGGAGAACGACGGTAGATCTGCCGGAATTTAAATTAGGGAAGGGCAAAAACACCGAGAAGAATTAGTGTTTACAGAGACTGGAATAAAGGAGAATTATAACTCAAGCATTTAGAGGGTTACAATTCAGGGGGGCTTGAAAGCCAGTCTACGCAAATCCATGTCCTGTTTAATAATATATATGTGCTACTTCCCTTTCGGAGAATCAGTCATGCATCAATCCCTGTATAGACACAGTATCAAAGGACATTCATATTGTAATGCTTTCCAGTTGGCTCCTGTTCTTATGGGTTTCGTAGCCAATTGTAAATTGTTGTTCTGCTTTTTTATTTTTTATTTTGTTTAGAGTTCATTATGCTCGCTACATTAGCACGTTTAACATGGATCATCTCATCGACCATTAATACTGCCAGGCTGATTGCTCCATTTGAGATATATTATTGATTGGATTATTACCGCTGGTTATCTATTTCATTAGGAAAAAAATATGAACTACCTCTCCCGGAACTATCGTGGTCGACTGAATTATACCCCTAAATACCCATATTTTACACACTAAACTATTTATATCAGATTAATAACCCCTTGAACACTGTTCCGGGCGGTTTTGACTTAAGTTAGCACATGTGGCGCCAACGTGGCAGACTAGTCAGAAAAAAAAAATGTCACCCTCTCTTTGATCCCAACCCAACCTCAAGAGAGAGCAAGGGTTTTGGAAGAGATGAAAAAAAAAATAGAACCAGTACATAGGTGCCGGTTTTTTAATAGAACTGGTACCTATAATATATTAAAGAACCGACACCTATATAATATAGGTACCAGTCATTTTTAAAAACCGGCACATATACTAAGCTGAGCCGAGCCAGGGAGACGACCACGTCCTTACCTATTTCGCCAAGCGCCCACACCCATCCATCCCGTGTCCTTATCCTCATTATCATGCTTTCTCTTCTCTCGTCTCTCTGCCTCCCCTTTCCTATCTCACTCCCTTTCCTCTCTCACGACGGCTGCCCAGCGGAGGCCGCGCCCTCCCCTCCGCCAGATCTGGCGGGAGGGGAGGCAATAGGCTCTCGCATTCGACAGTGGGCTCCTGTGGGCAATGGCAGGCTCCTCTCGGCCTGATCCGGTGAGGGGAGGCAGCGACACCCTCCCCTCCGCTAGATCTAGCGGGAGGGGATGCGGCAGCCAGGCTCCCGTGGCCAGCAGCGAGTGATGGTATTCTTACGTAAGCGCACGGAGATATCGTTGTAGCACTCCACCCGGAGTATTTCAAGGTATCGAATTTTTATATAGAATGTGTGTGTTTAACTTTTCACCATGTTCATCCAAGGACACAATATAAATGTAGGCCAAAGGGGTATAGATGATTTTCTAGTGTTGTACAGGGTCGTTTAGAAAGCTTAACTTTAATCCTATAGCTATATTTCAGGCACTGATTTGCTCGCTGTAACTAGAACTCGGTCTAAGCAATCAATTGTTACTTTAGTGTATGTAACTCACCAAAGCAAACACTATCTCTTAATAAGCAATAGTGAACAATGATCCAGTAATCTAAATAGAAACTAACTAAGAAGTATACAAATCTTAATAACTTAATTACGATATTCTCAATTAGAGCAAAGTAATTGCTAAGGTACAAAAGAAATAAAGAGAGTTGCCAACAACTCCGGAACCCCTCTGACTCTTTCTTCCTCACTCTCTCTCCCTTATTTTAAGTATACATCAAATGAATACAAAGAGCCTCCTATATTTCGGCTCTACATTTTGGTGTGTGTTGAAATGAAGGAAGATGAGTACTTACAGGGGGAGCTTGCTTGGGAGGATATAATTTCTCCATAGCATCCAAAGAGCATCTCCATCCTCCTATTGCCATCTGTCGTCCTGATGATGGTTGGAGCATCGGAAACGGTCACAACCATCATGGGAGGTCGATAATTACCGATCTAGAAAATTACTGGGCCAGGTGGGCTGTCACTGGGTCGGCCGACCCCCTGCCTAGCCCATCTGGCCTAGTGGCAAGATGCTTGGGCCCATTTTCTGGTATTTCGATAAGTTTGTGGGCCCAAGACTCCATGGGTGTAACTCTCCCCCTCTTTTATGTATATTTTGTCTCAACTTTGATAATTTGTCACCTGCAGTCAAATATACACCAACACTCGTGGAAATTGTTAGAACTAAATCCTACCTTTATGTTAGATGTTTTAAATTTTCAGATTTATGAAGGTATTGATGACGTAAATTTGGTATTTAATAGCCATCAACAGCGAGCTCCCCACGGGCGGCAACGGTGGGTTCCTGTGGGCGGTGGCAGGCTCCCCTCCGCCAGATCTAGCGAGAAGGGTGGCAGCGGTGGTGGCGCCCTCCCCTCAGCCAGATCCGGCTGGAGGGGACATGGCGGGCTCCCGCTGCTAGCGGCGAGCTCCCCACGTGCAACGGCCCCCTCCCTTTCGCTAGATCTGGCTGGAGGGGGGACTGTGGCGGGCTCCTGTCGGCGGTGGCAGACTCCCCACAGGCAGCGGGAGCGGGCTCCATATGGCGGTAGTAGATGATTTTTGTGTTTGTGGTTGTGAGTGTGTTTGAGTGATTTTTGTGATTGTGTTTGGATGATTTAGTGATGATTTTGATGGGGATGATGTTGATCTTAGTGATGATGATGATGGATGGCTGGCTCGATGCATCATCGAGCCGATGTATCGAGTCGGCTTTTTTTATTTGGATTTTCTGCTTGGATTGACGTGTGTTGCCTGTGTTGATGTGTGTGAAATTTGATCAACACAATGACCGCTGATATCAAAGGTCCAGTTTTTGGTATTAGCAGATGGAAGTAGTTAAGTAGATTGTTACATTTTTATGAGTCTTTTAAGTGGGTATTCCAAGAAGTTTTTTTAATTAAGTTATATTTTATAATTCACAGTTGTTCGTTGAAAAACTTTTGTAATAATCGGTTGTAACTTCTTTGAAGCAAAGGCTAAAATAAATTACAAATTACGTATACTCTCTCCGTCTCAACTTAAACCAATTAATGTCCACATACATGAGTTCATATTTGTGTATAAAGGGTAATTTATTTTAGTACGGACATTATACTGCAAGATTGCAAGTTTGTTAGTTGTTGGGTTGGGAGAGTGGGCGCTGTCGCTAGGTAGCCCTTTTTCCAATTGAAAATGGTCATAGTTTACATTTACAAATGGTCAATATTATCCAAGCCGCCTCAACCTTTCTCCCTTTCTCATTGTCGTGGCCTGAAAAAATATATTTAACAATAATGCATGATTCTTTTCGAAGCTATAGTACAACTACAAGTAAAAGAATGCACAAAACCTTGCCGTGTCACTACCGTTGTCGTTGTCCCCTTGGGCAAATTCATTTATATCACTGCTATTTGACTGGGTTTTAATATTTAGGGGGTGTAGAACTCCCGATTTCATCTTTCCAGAGGGTTGACCAACTACAGTAGTACAGAGGGTTAAGTAGACTACTTTCATTTTAAAATGCTCCCCTTCCATCTAAGATCAGATCTAGCAAGTACAAGTACAAATATCATAGCATGCGATTACATCCAATCTATCTGGGAAAAGCTGAAGTCAAACTTTAAAATCTTTAATTATAAATAATTTTTAATATTTATATTAGAAATATGAAGACCATATGTAGAAATTAGTCTTAAAAAGTACTTCAATAACATTAGATATTTGTTAATATTTCTACAAATATATTATAATAGAAAATAGTGATCAAAATTGTTTTTTTAACTATATTATGTATCCGGAGTGGTTAGTAATACTTATCGTTCTGGACATTTGTTCTAATGCATAGAAATCTAGATATTCATCCAATCAGATATTTACGATGATAATCCAAACAATTCAAAATAAAAAAAAAGTATCCAATGAGGTAACTGAAAATGAATATTTTCTTTCATTCATAATACTAATTAAGCAACCTATAAATGGTTATGGTTGGAAACAAAGGGTACTACATATGCCATTTACATGTTCTAGATTCTAAGTGTCTTTTGTATTAATCTGCCCTGTTTTGCGCATTTCGTTCTGCGGTAGCCTATGAAGCATAACCATATTCAAATATTCTTCTCAGACTTTGGTGAGGCACTTCCGAATTTGCTTTCATTCACCTGCATTATAGTATTACCTCCGTCCCAAAAGACTAGTTTTATCACCGTTTATATCTAACATTTTGACCATCTGTCTTGATGAAATTTTTTTATAATTAATATTTTTATTGTTATTATATGATAAATCATGAATATTACTTTTGGTGTGACTATTTTTTAAGAAAAAAATAAATAACACGAAACTCACATCTGTAATTAAAATGGGAGGGAGGTAATAGTACTGTTCTTCTGACACGTAGTATTAATTCTGTCCTGACCTTCTCTGACGGTTTCAAAAATTAATACGGTTGTTCTCTTCCATTTCTCTTCAAGAAGCATGTGGCAATCAGTGTGAGCTACTGAGGAGGTGTAGTGATCTCCACTGCCACCATGAAGGCGGCGGCGATGGAGGAGCCGCTCATCGCCGGCAGCAGTGGCGGCGCGGCGGAGAAGAACGGCGGCGAGGAGGAGGGGTTGGTGGTGACCGAGATCAAGAAGCAGCTGTACCTCGCCGGGCCGCTCGTCGTCGGCATGTTGCTGCAGAACGTCGTCCAGATGATTTCCGTCATGTTCGTCGGCCACCTCGGCGAGCTCGCCCTCTCCAGCGCCTCCATGGCCACCTCCTTCGCCGGCGTCACCGGCTTCAGCTTGCTGGTAGGTGCAAACCCACTTCTCCTGAAAGATTAAGCTCGATCATCAATCGCCATGAACGGATTCGAGCGAGCTCATCATCTGTGTAATCGAGGTAGGCTGGCATGGCGAGCAGCCTGGACACGCTGTGCGGCCAGGCGTTCGGCGCGAAGCAGCACCACATGCTCGGCGTGTACAAGCAGCGGGCGATGCTGGTGCTCGCGCTGGTGAGCGTCCCGATCGCGGCGGTCTGGGCCTTCACCGGCGAGATCCTCCTCGTCGTCGGCCAGGACCCGGAGATCGCGGCGGGCGCCGGGAGCTACATCCGGTGGATGATCCCGACGCTGTTCGTCTACGGGCCGCTGCAGTGCCACGTCCGGTTCCTGCAGACGCAGAGCGCCGTCGTGCCGGTGATGCTCTCCGCCGGCGCGACGGCGGCGAACCACGTGCTCGTCTGCTGGCTGCTCGTGCACAGGCTCGGGCTGGGCGCCAAGGGCGCCGCGCTCGCCAACGCCGTCTCCTTCCTCACCAACCTCTCCGTGCTGGCCATCTACGTCAGGCTCTCGCCGGCGTGCCGCCGCACCTGGACCGGCTTCTCCGGCGAGGCGTTCCGCGACGTCCTCGGCTTCTTGAGGCTCGCCGTGCCTTCTGCGCTCATGGTCTGGTGAGCCTCCGGCTAATTCGGTCAACTGTTTATGATTTCGAACATAAATTTCCAAAATTTTGGTTCTACTACTGCTCATGGTCTGGTACTCTGGTAGTCTGACCGAATTTTAGTCTTAAAACTTGAATGTTTTTCTAAAATTTTCCAAAATATGTCCATCGAAATGATAATGCAGCATGGAGTGGTGGTCGTTTGAGCTCCTGGTGCTGCTCTCCGGTCTTCTGGCAAATCCCAAGCTTGAGACGGCCGTTCTGTCCATATGGTGATCTATTCAAATCCTACATTTTATTTTTTTTGGCTAAAATTTAGTGCAATTTGTTGTCTCCGCTAATTAATCATTGCTGCTGCTACTACGATTGCTTGTAGCTTGAACACAAACTCTTTCGCCTTCATGGTGCCACTTGGACTTGGTGCTGCCATAAGGTCAGTGTCTGAACTCTGAACTCTGAACTCTGAACAGAGTCTGAAGTCATAATTCAGAAACAAAACAGAGTCCATTTCTTTAGAAACAAAACCTGTGAACTCTGAAACAACAAATAGACTATGAGAAATACCAGCAGTTTCGAGAACATTGATCGCTTGATTGATTCGATTTACCAGTACGCGCGTGTCGAATGAGCTCGGAGCTGGGCGACCGCAGGCGGCACGCTTGGCGACCCGTGTTGTGATGCTCCTGGCGTTCTTGGTAGGAACTTCAGAAGGCCTCGTGATGGTTATTGTGCGCAATCTCTGGGGATATGCGTACAGCAATGAGGAGGAAGTGGCAGATTATATAGCTAAGATGATGCCTATTCTTGCTGTGTCCATCCTGTTCGATGCAATTCAGTGTGTTCTGTCAGGTACACACCATTCTGCTTCACATTTTTCAGAAGGAATTTTCATATCTGGATCTGAATATTGAAGCCTTATTTCGGAGTTCGGACCAAAATTTCTGATCTTTCGGTACCCGGACAGTTTTTGCTTTCCACAATGTAGAACCCTTCTCTGCAATACATTTGGTGAAGACTAGCAATGCAGGATACCACGAGTTCAGATATAGCAGAAAGCTCTGCATCTGAAGCAAGCTGAATTACCTGGAGTAATGATTGCTACTGTAAAATACTAGTACCTAACTGTGATCTTGACATGATTTTCAGGTGTTGTTAGGGGCTGTGGACGACAACAGATTGGTGCTTTCATCAACCTAGGGGCTTATTACCTGGCTGGCATACCTGTAGCATTCTTTTTCGCCTTTGTCTGCCATCTAGGAGGAATGGTAATCTTCTTTACTTTTTACTCTTTTCAACTTTTGACAGTTTATTTGGAGACATATTTTACATGTTTGAACTCTGAACAGGGGCTATGGTTTGGAATATTGTGCGGATTAGTGGTGCAGATGCTTTTGCTTCTCACCATCACCTTGTGCACCAACTGGGATAAAGAAGTAAGTACACTAGTGTACTGTTGTCGGCATCTTATTATTATGACTTGTCTCAACTTGGTCTTCATGTCTATGATTTTGATTTATGAAAGAGTGATTTTATCATAATTGAGGAGAGATACCAGAAAGTATCAATATTTTTTTTTTTGAAGAAGAACAATTCCATTAAGCAGGTAGTCCAGCTGAATCACTAGCTACCAAATTACAAACAACATCTGGGAATCCTTCAAGCCAAACAAATTGGCTTCGTGGACCCAGAGAAGCACCAATTTTAGCAAGCTCATGCGCAGCACGATTACATTCTCTAGGACAATACATGACTTGATGGACATTAAAATTCATTGCAAGCAAAAATTTGGCCTCTCTAATGATAACAGCGTTTACACTTCTATCCTGTGTTTCATCCAACAAAGCCGCTTTCAGAGCTTGAGCATCAGTTTCAACAATAATGTGGCCCATTCCCATATCATTAGCTAATTTCAAAGCTTGGATGCATGCTAAAGCTTCTGCTTGATTAGCATTATGCAAATTCTGTAAATTCCCAGCAGCCATCATGAGAGGACATCCATCTGTATCTCTGGCCACTACACCCCAACCACCTTCTCCTGTATGTTGGAAAAAAGATCCATCAATATTTAGCTTTATCATTCCAGCTCTAGGTGGTTTCCATGAGTTCGCACAGTTCATAAGACATTTATTTTGTTCATATTGTAAAAAATGTTCAAATTCTGAAATAATTCGGTTAGTAAGAAAAGGCACTTCATGCAGAACTGAATAACCTTCCCCTTCAACCAATTTGTTTCGAGCAGACCACCACAACCAAAACATAGTTAAGATTTTAATTTGTTTGCTTACATCCATTGTCCAGATCTCCTCTAGCACATGCAGTGGTGAAGGGCAGTATAAAAGTTTGAGGCGTACCTCCTCCAAAAATAATTTACTCCACACTTTTCGTACCATTTTGCATCTGAGAAAACAGTGGCCTCCATCCTCATCAAAACGCCTACAAACCGGGCACAAAGTGTCAATATCAACTCCTTTTCTTTTGATGTTTAGCCTCAAAGGCAGACTATTATGTGCAAATCTCCATATAAAGTGTTTTATCTTATTAGGAATGTTATATCTCCAAATACGCTCCCAATTAAAAGAAGAGGTTTTAGCACAGGAACTACCTATCTGTCCTTGCAATTCATTGAGGATCTTCTCATGTAGCTTGTATGCTGATTTTACCGAGAAAATTCCTTTAGTATCTGGTTGCCAAGCAATAAAATCTTCCTGACCTTCCCTTAGTGGTATTCTTGTTATGATTTTTGCATCGTTCTCATTGAAAATCTGCTGGATTAATTCAATATCCCACTGGCCTGTTGTTGGATCAATGAGCTCACACACCCTTGTAATTAAAGATGCCCCTCTTCTTGTTGTGACGAATCTCATATCTCTTGGCAGCCATGGGTCTGACCAGATGTTTATATGCTCTCCATTTCCGACCCGCCATATTACGCCTTTTCTTAGTAATTGTATTCCCTTTAGAATACTTCTCCAGGAATATGACATTTGTTTCCTTGACTGCGCATCAAGAACATTACAGTTAGGAAAATATTTGGCCTTTAGCAGCCTTGAGCAAAGAGAATCAGGATTTTGGATAAGGCGCCAACCTTGCCGAGCCAACATAGCAATATTGAAGGAATGTAGGTCTCTAAACCCCAAACCTCCTTGACTCTTTGGCTTCATGATTTTATCCTTTCCCAACCAATGAATTTTTTTGTCATTATCATGTTGAGCCCACCAGAAGCGCAAAATCATAGAAGTTAACTCATCACAAAGAGATTTTGTTAAATAAAAACATGACATTGCATATGTTGGAATAGCTTGTGCAACTGCTTTAATTAAAATTTCTTTTCCTGCCTTGGATAAAAATTTTTCCTTCCATCCCTGGATGCATCTCCAGATTTTCTCCTTTAAGTATTCAAAGGTTTTCGCTTTGGATCTACCAATAAATACCGGTAACCCAAGATATCTATCATTATGAGCTATACAGTTTATACCCAAGGTATGTGAAAATACCTTTTTTTCCTCCTCATCCATGTTTGAACTGAACATCACTACAGATTTATCTCTATTAACAATCTGGCCTGAGCACCTCTCATAGTCCAGAATAATTTGCTTCATCTCGTTTGCTACAGATTCAGTAGCTTTTAAAAGTAAAAGAGAGTCATCTGCAAAAAACAGGTGTGTTAGAATAGGAGCACCTCGACAAATGCGTAAACCACATAATCTTTTTGAACCTTCTGCTGCCTGAATTGCTGCTGAAAATGCCTCTGCACATATAACAAACAAATATGGTGATAAAGGATCACCTTGACGCAGCCCCCTGTCTGGCTTTATCACTTCCGTATAGTCACCATTGACCTTTATTTTATAATTTACTGTTGTGACACAATTCATTATCAACCTATTCCATTTTTCATCAAAGCCAAGTCTTCGCAGCATATGGAGTAGGAAAGGCCATTCAACTCTATCGTAGGCTTTAGACATATCCAATTTGATGGCCGCATAGCCATCTTTTCCATTTCTCTTATTCTGCAAAAAATGGGTTGCTTCATAGGCAATAAGTACATTATCAGTGATTAGTCTTCCAGGAACAAAAGCACTTTGCGTGTCTAAGATGATCTCTGGGAGGATTGACTTCAGCCGGTTTGCTAGAACCTTAGAGATAATTTTGTACACTACATTACAAAGGCTGCTTGGACGCAACTCTTTGAGAACAGATGGACTTTTAACTTTTGGAATTAGAACAATGTTTGTATCATTCCATCCTACTGGCATCTCGCCACCATTAAGAACTTTTAAAATTTCGTGCGTTACTTTGTCACCCACAATGTGCCAAAACTTTTTGTAGAAAACTGCAGGCATGCCCTGTGTTACTTTATAGTACCCTAACACTACAAATATGCTATGAGGTGCCAAAATTTATGTTAGTACTCTATTTTTAATAGACAACATCATTGAATTTTAGCGTGACGTTTGACCATTTGTTTTATTAAAAAAATATAAGTATTTTTTTGTGACCTGTTTTATCACTAAAGGAAATTTAAGAATTACTTGTATTTTCTTACACTTGCATTACTTTTATTTTAATAAAATAGATGATCAAAAGTCACATTAAAAGTTAATGGTGTGTAGCTAGTACTAGAAAATGAAAAACCGGTTGGTAGCTCCTTAAGGATCGTAAAATTTCTATTGTGATGATACATTTGCCTTTTTGGTTTCTAGGCACTGAAGGCGAAGGATAGAGTTTGCAGTTCTTCACTTCCTAAAGACTTGGCAACATGAGGTTACATCAACAGAAGAGCAAATGCATGCAGTTTTATTGGATGCGAAGTATTACAAATAAATTGTTTTTGGTACCCTTGGCAGAATCAATGAATGCCTGAGTTTTGATAGTTTGAGTTAGCTAGCCTAGGTATGATTTTTGTAACGCGCAAAAACCTATCAGATCTTGTATTACACATTCTAGATATAACAAATATTAGTGTTTCCTCTTGACCATTAATTTTCAGAACGAAAATTAAATATAACGGCAACAGCATTGTTCTTGTCAATGCAGCAGGCCATTGTCAAGCATGGATAGTCACCTATAGCCAATTTATTTAATTCGTGGGTTGAAAATTAGTTATGACCACATGCTGCACTGCTTCTGCCGTTCTGCGGGGCCGTCAATTCCTTTTAGTTTTATACTGCCGCACACATTTTTGTAAGTTCAACGTACGCTGCCAAGACAAACTATTTTACTGATATATCCAGCTAAATTGCGGATCACATAATATCTGGATTCTTACTGACATGGTGATATGCAGCCCGGGGCAACATATAAATTGTTTAGTACAATACTACTGCGCAGCGGCGGTTGTATAGCACACTAGCGCAGAGGGCAGTAAACGGAATAGTCATATAAAAATTTAATTGAATTGTAGTTTGAGGCACCTTTTGTTGCAAAAATTTCAGTTTGGACTACCTTTATGTAACCTTTCCGCTTCTGATATACAAAAGGTATGATCTACACATATTTGGAAGTTCATCAACGTGAAACTGCTGGTGTAATCAAAATCATTGATGTAGTAGAAAAGAGAGTTCAGCTGGTCTAAAGTACAACAATGGTAAAGTCACCTAATCCAAAATAAAAACATTAGATAAAGGTGGTCCAAATTAGATCTTTGGTTATAGAAGTGGTCCAAACTGTAATTTACTCTCAACATTTTACTACGTACATTGAAGTGGTAGGGTGGGGTGGAGCAAGCTACGCACGCAGAGTAAAAGATGGAAACATCTGGTATACGTAAATAAGTGTGGGTGGTTTTCAATATTTATGTTTTCGCATGTCCATTATATGTCCTTCTACTACCATGGAACTCTAAGTAGGTGGCACGCACTTATGGATGCCAAAACAAACCGTGTCTCTAAAATGATATCAAAGACAAGTTGAAAGCCAATTTGCGTGTGATAACTTGCTTGGTTGAGGCCAGACGTCTCCTAACTAATCATCATAGATGCTTCCAAAGAAAGCACATAAATGTTGTGGGGATAAAAATTCATAGATGCTTGTAAAGAAAACATGTATGTGAGTGAGGTACATCTTCACATACGTTATTCCATAAAAAGTGTCCCTGTAATGTATCATAAATGTACGACATACATGTGTATCTGATTACTTATTCACATATACGAGTATGTATCAAAATTGTAGATATTGACGCGATGTACAAGTTTGTAGTGGACAACCTTTTCATTTGACATTATTTACATGTAATATGCGTTACAAGTTCTCAGATCTATTTAAAGAAATAATCTTTCAAAATTTTCAAGTGACCTCAGATGTATATCAAAGTTGTAAAGCTTGATGGTTGACGCGATCCACAACTTTATAGTTGACAATCTTTTCATTTGGCATTGTTAGAATATGCGGTTCAAGGTTTCACAACTATTAGAATTTTTTTAAAAAAATTTGTAATGACATTAGATGGAGACATGCTCTATATCAAAGTTGTACAAATCAAGAAGATCTATAACTTTGATGATGACCTTTCCATTTGAAATCATTTAAAATTTTAATAAATACGTATTACAAGTTTTGGATTGGTGAACCTAGCTAAAAAGAATAGGATCCCTTATTCTATCAACAAATGCATCAAAAGTGGGAAGGTAAGCAGACTTGGCATGGAGGGCGAGGTCCCAGGTTCAAAGACATATTTCCTAGGGTAACTCATTTTTTAATCAATCCCCATTCTTAAATTGTTTTGGACCTTTTCTAGCTCAACTAGAGTTACCTGTTTTATTATGGTCTAGCAAATGTTTAGCCCCAATTTTCCTTTCTACTACACGAGGCATTCAGCTTTATGTTGATCATTTAATTTCTTGTTAACAATGCATTGCCAAACTTCAGATTTAAGCCTCATATTCTTAGGTTTTGTTTCTGTACGTTGTGAATTAGCAGGTCATTGGGCAGAGTTTGTAGTAGAGTTTGGCTAGAGCCCATAGCATAGTGTTAATGAAGTCTGAGGCTCCCACTTGTAGCAGCTGGATTTTACATTCTATCAGAAAAGAGTGATTAAAAAACATAGATCTAGGCCTTAAGCACATACTCCCTCCGTCCCAAAAAAAAGACAAACCCTGTGTTTCCGTGTCCAACGTTTGACCGTCTGTCTTATTTGAAAAAATTATGAAACAAATTAAAAAGACAAGTCACGTATAAAGTATTAATCATGTTTTATCATCTAACAACAATAAAAATACTAATTATAAAAAATTTCATATAAGACGGACAGTCAAACGTTGGACACGGAAACCCAGGGTTTGTCCTTTTTTTTTTAAGGACGGAGGTGTGCTGTACTACTTGTTCCTATGCTTAGAGAGATAGATCAATAGCATGTTCTAGGGCATCAATCAAATCAATTTATTTTAGTATGGATCCACATTAATTGAGTACCAAATCATGTTCTTTGACATCAAAATAAATGCATGCAGTACCAAACCTGAATGCAAGAAGTTGAGGAAATCAGGGAAGGAGTGATTGAGGATTGAGCAGTTGAGTACTCTTGAAGAATACCTTTCTTGCCTCTTGACAGAGCTGAGCCGTAGAGATATGAGTGACCATGACAAGGGGTAGGTGGCAATGGTGCACTGGTACGGGGCACCAGCCATGGGGGATGGACTGGCGATAGGAGAACGGCATGCTGCCACATCGTTCATGCAGCATGGTGGAAGAGGCTGCGCCGCCTCCTTTGCATCTGTTGGGGGTGACAGTGTGAAGATCTGTGGGAGCTGTGGATTTACGGAGTTAGGGTTGGTTTATATATGGTTGCCTCCAGTGACTTGGACTGGTAGGTTTGGAATGGCTACCTCTAGAGAGATCATACCCGTGGGGTCTTGTGGGTCACTTTCAGTTCAGCCCTTGCTACTAGTTGGGCCTCCAACCACCACACCCATGGGACAAAAAGTAACCCTGCCCCCTATGGGGATATCGCCATCCCTACTATGTGTGCTCATTAATTAGACATATTCTTCTCCAACTATCAAACTTGAGCAGACGACTCCAAGCTGGACGGTTCTTTCTCTACATCCATGATTTAGTATCGTTGTTGGGACCTGACTTTGAAAATCTGATCATGAGTTTCATTCTTCCATATGCTCACGTTGTTACCTGAGCTCATGCGGATTGACCATCTTATGTTATACAAAATATTGTCCAAACTCAACTTCGTTCGTCAGATATAAAAATAACATATATTTCTAACTAGTAAGTTGTCCTAATGATAGTTATAGATTAGTTATTTTTATGTGTCGGAGACAAAGTCAGGTTAAGAAAAGAGTTTTTACATGGTTATATAACATCATATTATCTACTTTTTGATCGTTTGTTTGATGAATTTAAACGACTTCTTGATCAGGGTTTACACCAGGTTCACCTGGATATTCTATTTACCAACCATATGATCCATAGCTAGTTCATTGTCCAGCGAACACTTGTGATTTAGACACCGCCTAAATCCATGCTCATCGATTATTCATAAAAAATGGAGATATACTTACAAGTATCAAATAATAACCATTTTCGAAATAACAAATAATAATAGTGCTCAAAGGAAACAAATTAATAAGGTTCCCCAGGAATAGTGGACAACCAGGCAAAGGACCAGCTATGCAAATCAACATGCATACATAAGAAGGGAAAATTAACGTATTCTCTCCAGGAAGGAAAAAATAATGATCTTATTACACAGGAATGGACATAGCCACAAGGAGGATGCTGAAGAAGCTCGAATATACCATCCACTGGGCACCATGAGGAGCGGCACTGCTGTCTGAGTTTGGAGCTGAAATCATTGAAGCGAGAAAGGAAATTATTTAGAAAGGAAAGTTAAAAAGTATAAAACAACAAAAGAAATTATCGGAAAATAAATATTAATTTAATTTTTGAGAAGTTAATACTACCTCTGTTTTTTAATAGATGACGCCGTTGACTTTTTTTCACATGTTTGACCATTCGTCTTATTCAAAAAATTTACGTAATTATAATTTATTTTGTTATGAGTTGTTTTATCACTCATAGTACTTTAAGTATGATTTATATCTTATACATTTGTATAAAATTTTTAAATAAGACGAATGATCAAACATGTGAGAAAAAGTCAACAGCGTCATCTATTAAAAAACAGAGGGAGTACGTGGAAACATGAAAAAGAAAAACACGAAGTTGCACTTACACGCTGTGGGAGGACTGCTGGCTGGAGCTGAAAAACAAAAAAAGAAAAGACAGATGTATCAGTAATACGGTAATCATATTTAAGTATTACGGGTTTGAAATTTTCAAATTTTCGGGAGTTTCGGACCCCCGGTACACAACCATTTGCTCCAAAAATTTCGGATTCTTTTACATTTTTGAAATTTTGGTCAAAATTTATTTAAATTTTAACTAATTTCGTACCAGCACTTTCCCAAATTTCAGTGACCCGAAACTTCGGTATTTTACGAAATTGTAAACCCTGACTGATTATACAATATCACACTAACAAGAGCCTGTTTAGATCCCCTGACAAAATTTTTCACCTGTCACATTGAATGTTTGGACACATGCATGGAGTATTAAATATAAACGAAAAAAAAACTAATTACACAATTTGCGTGTAAATTGCGAGACGAATCTTTTAAGCCTAATTGCTCCATGATTTGACAATATGGTGCTACAGTAAATATTTGCTAATGATAGATTAATCAGGCTTAATAAATTCGTCTCGCAGTTTACATGCGGAATCTGTAATTTGTTTTGTTATTAGTCTATATTTAATACTTCAAATATGCGTCATTATATCCGATGTGACACGCCGAAACTTTTCAGCCACCGAGTCTAAACACAGCCTAAGTTGGCAAATACTCTTATCAAGAAAGACGAACATTCTGTCAACATCATGTTATTACTACGCATATACGTACCAGGAGCAGGCGCATGGCTGCTGCACACGTCGGCGGGAACCTTGACGTCGCAGCGCCCGAACAGATCCAACCCCTTCTTCGTGTCGACGCCGACGGTGGCGGCCATCGCCGGGTTCGTCAGCACGGAGCACAGGCATCCCAGCTCGCTCTCGTACGCCTTCTTCAGCGGCGCGCAGCACGCGCCCGTGGGCTTCGCCGTCGCGTTCCGGTAGAACTCGGAGCACGGCGCCAGCTCCGCCACGCACGGCAGGTTCGCCTCTGGCGTCGGCGGCAGGGAAGGAGGAACGATGGCCGGGATCGGCGGCAGGGCAGGAGGAACAGCAATGGCAGGCGTCGGCGGCAGAGCCGGTGGAACGACGATGGCCGGCAGCGGCGGCGGCGGCGGTAGAGCAGGGGGGACAATGGCCGGCGGCGGCGTCAGCGGCGGCAGAGGAGGAGAAGGGGCAACGACGGCCGGCGGCGGCGTCGTTGGCAGAGGAGGAGCGACGACGGTCGGCGCGGGCGGCGTCGTCGTCGGCAGAGAAGGAGGAACAACGGCCGGCGGCATCCCTGGCCTCTGTGCCATGGCGGCCTGGACGACGACGACGGCTGCAAAAGCAACGACCAAGACAATTCGCGCCATTGCTCGAATTCTCTATCTCTCAAAATCTCTCTACACGTGTGTGCTGCTCATATCATGTTTATTCTAGTCTCTCTCTAACATATATATACGCAGAACTAAGCAAGGGATTATGTCGTGATAGCCACTAATTTTTCCGTCCATGCTGTAAACAGCAGCTACCTATACTCGCTTCACTATTTATTTTATACTCACTCTCAGTGCATATATATTTTGTTCCTATTTTTCTATTTATAAGAATATTGCCAAATTAAATAAATTTTCAATAGAAATCTACTCGTATCTTTTTTATGTGTCGATTCTTGATGTTTTTTTTAACTTATATTAATAACTGATGAAGATTTCAATGTTTGACCCGTATCGCAGGGTATCCAAAATCCATACATTTTCGGGATTCGGGAACACACATGGGGTACATATTTAATCATATTTGAAGATTTGAACATAAAAGTAGCTGGTTGCATATGCATACGTTGCATTTAAGTTGGCATGTTCTTCCCCCGTTTCACAATATAAGGTACTTCCTCCGTTTCACAATATAAGACTTCACTGGTGGAGAAATTCTTTTTAGTCCCGGTTCGTAACCCCACTTTAGTCCCGGTTTCCAAAGATCGATCTTTAGGCTGAGCCATCTTTAGTCTCGGTTGGTGAGCTGACTTTTTTTTTTTTTGCATGGCCCTGTTGCTGCATGGTTTATATATATGTTTCAATACATATATATGCATATATAATATATGCATATATATATATTATATTATATTTATATATGTTTCAATACATATGTACATGCATAATATATATGTATTTATACATATATATATATATATATATATATGTGTGTGTGTGTGTTATGCAAATGCATATGTATATATATATATATATATATATATATATATATATATATATATATATATATATATATATACATATATATATATATATATATATATATATATATATATATAACCAAAATATATTTACATTATAGAAAATGTGTACACATGCATATAGAAACATATGTAGTCATGTATAAATTACAATCCATTATATGTCCTAGCTAGCTACGATTTCGACGTAGTAGTAGTCGCTAGCTCAGAAGCTAAGGACCTATGAATTGTGTTTCCGTCGTAGTAGAATTTACCCTTGGGATCAAGGATTTGTTCGTTGATGAATCCCATGAGTTGTTCTTGAACCGCCGCGATAAATTCCTTGTGTGTGGTCAGGTTATCCCTCATGCTAATAAACTATATGAATATATGAAATTGATTAGTAATTAAACAAGAAATCGATACGTAATGAAATTTTGAATTTATTTGTACGTACATCGAGCTCTCTTGTGGTGATGATTTGGTCTGCAAAGCAGTGGCAATACTCGCACACGTAGTAGCCACACAAGTTAGTTCCTTGCTTTGGCTTTGCGCACTACAAATAAATGACAAATTAACGGCGTGAGATCTAATTAATATACACTTGTTTGTATTAATTTGAATCGGAGAAATATAAATGTAGAGCATGTGTACTCACAGGAAATTTGAACCTCCGCCTAAGTCTCTCTCCGCGGACCAAATGACGGAACCGATACCAAGCCCTACATGGAGTTTAAAGATATGATTCGTAGTAGCAATTAACATAACAAGAATTTCTTAATTAACAGAGGAACTTATGACAGTACCTGTCTATAAGTTCGAAAACCTTGTCAAACCTAGGCTCTTTTTAATCCATTGAGTCATATACGTTGACGGTGCAGGCCGATAGGTCGAAGAGTAAAAGCACCCAGTGGAATCTGCAATGTGCGTGGGATGCATTACATATGAAACACTTAGCAAGTTCGTACGGGAATGAAATTTGATATAGGAAGACAGTAAAATTAAACTAACTCTGTGTTGTACGGCAACAGTATGAACGTCTTGTAATGCTGCGCCTTCAGGAGATGGACGAGATTGTCCTCTGTGGCTTGCGGATATTGGTCGAGCATTGCGACGTTTACTTTCCGAGGGTCGATGAATCCAATATCGAAAACCCCCCGCCGTCGGGCCCTTTGAATCTCCATTCTACAACGATAAAAGGGAGTATTTTATTTTATATAGTCTACTTATATACAAGGACCTAATTAATTAAAGGAGACGTAGTAATTAAGAAATATAACTGAACGATATACTTACAAAATCCAGCAACTCATAATAGAGACGTCGAGGGCGTCCAGCTGGTATACTTCGTAGATTCCCTTGAAATTGATCCAGAGAATGTCATCTCCTTGCAAGAAGTCCGGGTCCCTGATCCTCGCTCCGATCATCTCTCTACCGGTGGCGCTCATCTCCATGTACAGCTGATGGAACTTGTACATTTGTGTGGGTAGGGACTGCACCAGCTCAGGCTTGACAAGCGGTTTACCGAGTTCGTACATGTATTTCACTTCCGCCTTTTCTATTGGTGCGACTCCTAGCAATTGATCCGTAGTTAGACCGGTGTCAGTAATAAATTCTTCTATCATCATGTCTTCACCGGTCACCAACGGCTCAATCTCCTGGTTTGGTTGCTCTCCAAGCTGAGGGACTGGTTTGGACTTCCCAGAAGATGCTTTCTTCTGCGTTCGCTCATAGTCCGATAGCTTGATGGCCTCTTGACAGGTGCAGACATACCCCTGAAGAAGTTCTTGACACTCGGGTCTATAGGAATCTTCTTTTCCGGACTTCGAGGCTTGAATTGTCTCTTGACTTCTGATGCCACGTAAGCGTCAAGCTCCTCTTGCGTGCAATCGTACCCCGGGTCCTTGTTCTTGGCGGCGTCAACTTTCGCCTTCTTCGTTGCCCTTGTGTGGGCAGGCGGTGGAGCTGGGGTGGCCCTTGACTTTGAAGGTGCCGGAAGAGGAGCTTGCGGAGGAGTCGGTGCAGGAGCCTGAGGAGGAGTCGGTGCTGGAGCCTGAGGTGGAGACGGTGCTGGCGGTGCATGAGGAGGAGACGGTGCAGGATCCTGAGGAGGAGATGGCGGAGCCGGAGGAGATGGTGCACGAGACGCCGCTTGTCGCCCAGGAAGGATGATGTACCGCCTGCGCCATAGAATAATGGCATGGCTTGTGTCTCGTAGATGCGTCTCACCGTCTCCTCCAGGGTAATCCAGCTCGAGGTCCTCGTACGCGCCTTCGACCAACTCAACTTCGACCTTGGAGTATCCTGCTGGAATCGGCCTGCAGTGGTAAGTACCTGAAGGGTCCGTTGGGATGACCATGCCCGACGCCGCCTTCATGTGGTGAGAGATTATTTATTAGTAATCAACATATATAAGCAGCAACTAGCGGAATGGCCAAATCTAAAATATATAAACTACGAGCTTACCTTTATTGATAAGTTCTTGAAAGGAATATGCAGCTCACATGGTGTCCGCTGAGTGATGTCATCAACGGGACAGGTCGATTCGTCCTGGGTTTGCATGGCGTCCATGCTCTGTGATCCTACCTGCCCCATTGAGGCGCAGCTGCTACGGTTTCCTGACGGGCTCACCATTGCAGGAGGAATGGTCGGCTGGGGATAATGGGACCGATGTGCGGCCATGCGTTCATCAACCTTCCTTGCCACCTCCTCTTGCATGCTGAGCTCGTAGCTCGATACCCGGAACTCTAGATCTGCAATCTTCGCCTTGGTATCTGTCTTGCTCCTCATCCAACTCCTGTACGTGTGGATGTCCTCCTTGAAACCAATCTTCCAAGGAATCACCCCTTTCCCTCGTGTTCGTCCTGGATGCTCTGGAGTCTGCAGGGCGAGTGTCAACTTCGGCATCGCGACGCTATAGCCTCCTGACCCCAAGTGGTGATGGTACGTCTTCTTGGCGGCTTTTTCTTTGTTTCTTTCCATCATCGCCTGCCCTTGTTCACCTGTCTTATATGCAGCGAACTCGTCCCAGTGATCCCTTAGCTTTGGGTATGTGTCGAAGTTCGGTGTCTGCCCCTTCAGGATATACTTCTGGTACAGATCTCCCTTGAAGCTCTGAAACTGCTCTGCCATTTTCTTCAGAGTCTACCTTTTCACTTTGTCCTCTGTACCCGCAGGAAGGGTGAATGTCTCGAGCATTGTGGTCCACAGCATCTCTTTCTCCGAATCTGGGACAAAGCTCTCATGATCTCCGCGTGTCCTTGTTCTTCGCCAGTACACCGTACTGACAGGCACGTTATCCCGCACAACCCAACCGCTGTGACGTACATAGTTCTTGGCGGCTTCGGCCGGGGCACTAGGTCGTCCATCTTCTTCCACCTCCGTTATGATGTGCCGACCCTCAAGCTTCTTTGCTGCACCTCGTTGCCCGCGTGCCCTCTTCTGTCCAACGGAGGGTTGACTTCCACTAGCCTCCTCCTCCTGATTCCCCTCCACTTCCCTTTCCACGTGCGCCTGCTGGTTCCCCTCCGCATCCCTCTCCACGTTCCCTTCCTCGTTCAAGTACTGGTTTGGATCCTCGTTCCCCTCTTCTTCATTCCAGTACTGGCTGCTTCCCTCCACGATTGTATCGTACAATATCTGTTCCTCATCGCGATCAGCCATCTGTTGATACAAGAAACATCTGCTAAGTCATGAGACATTTATATTTTAACAATCTAAGTCATGTATGCTAAGTGTAAGTGTCGTACATTAGAACCCTACACAACCTTACGTGCTAAGTCTAATTACAAATCTAATAATCTCATACTAAAATTCAAATCGTGATATATGCTAAGTCTAGGTGACGTATATTATACGACCCTAGCTAGTCAATAATCTCATACTAAAACTCAAATCGTGATATAAGTTAAGTCATGAGACATTTATGTTTTAACAATCTAAGTCATGTATGCTAAGTGTAACTGTCGTACATTAGAACCCTACACAACCTTACGTGCTAAGTCTAATTACAAATCTAATAATCTCATACTAATTAAAACTCAAATCGTGATATATATATGCTAAGTCTAGGTGACGTATATTATACGACCCTAGCTAGTCAATAATCTCATACTAAAACTCAAATCGTGATATAAGCTAAGTCTAGGTGACGTATATTATACGACCCTAGCTAGTCAATAATTATATACTAA